TATCACATAATGCAATGATATCACATAATGCAATGGTATCACATAATGCAATGGTATCACATAATGCAATGACACCACAAAATGCAATGGTATCACATAATACAATGGTATCACATAATGCCATGGCATCACATAATGCAATGACACCACATAATACAATGGTATCACATAATGCAATGGCATCACATAATGCAATGACACCACATAATGCAATGACACCACATAATGCAATGACACCACATAATACAATGGTATCACATAATGCAATGGTATCACATAATGTAATGATATCACATAATACAATGGTATCACATAATACAATGGCATCACATAATGCAATGGTATCACATAATACAATGGCATCACATAATGCAATGGCATCACATAATGCAATGGCATCACATAATGCAATGGCATCACATAATGCAATGGCATCACATAATGCAATGGCATCACATAATGCAATGGTATCACATAATGCAATGACACCACATATCACAATGGTATCACATAATGCAATGGCATCACATAATGCAATGGTATCACATAATGCAATGACACCACATAATGCAATGGTATCACATAATGTAATGACATCACATAATGCAATGGTATCACATAATACAATGACACCACATAATGCAATGGTATCACATAATGTAATGATATCACATAATACAATGGTATCACATAATGCAATGGCATCACATAATGCAAAGGTATCACATAATGCAATGACACCACATAATACAATGGTATCACATAATGCAATGGCATCACATAATGCAATGGTATCACATAATGCAATGACACCACATAATGCAATGGTATCACATAATGCAATGACATCAAATAATGAAATAGCATCACATAATACAATGGCATCACATAATGCAATGGTATCACATAATGCAATGACATCACATAATGCAATGGTATCACATAATGCAATCACATATTGCAATGGTATCACATAATGCAATGGTATCACATAATGCAATGGTATCACATAATGCAATGGTATCACATAATGCAATGACACCACATAATACAATGGTATCACATAATGCAATGACATCACAAAATGCAATGGAGTCACATAATGCAATGGTATCACATAATGCAATGACATCACATAATGCAATGACATCACATAATGCAATGGTATCACATAATGCAATGGTATCACATAATGCAATGACATCACATAATGCAATGGTATCACATAATGCAATGACATCACATAATGCAATGGTATCACATAATGCAATGACATCACATAATGCAATGGTATCACATAATGCAATGACATCACATAATGCAATGGTATCACATAATGCAATGACATTGGATAATGCAATGACATCACATAATGCAATGGTATCACATAATGCAATGACATCACATAATGCTATGGTATCACATAATGCAATGGCATCACATACTGCAATGATATCACATAATGCAATGAAATCACATATTGCAATGGTATCACATAACGCAATGACATCACATAATACAATGGCATCACATAATGCAATGGTATCACATAATGCAATGACATCACATAATGCAATGGTATCACATAATGCAATGAAATCACATATTGCAATGGTATCACATAATGCAATGGTATCACATAATGCAATGACACCACATAATGCAATGGTATCACATAATGCAATGACATCACATAATGCAATGGTATCACATAATGCAATGGTATCACATAATGCAATGACATCACATAATGCAATGACATCACATAATCCAATGGCATCACATAATGCAATGACATCACATACTGCAATGAAATCACATATTGCAATGGTATCACATAATGCAATGGTATCACATAATGCAATGGCATCACATAATACAATGGCATCACATAATGCAATGGTATCGCATAATGCAATGACACCACATAGTGCAATGGTATCACATAATGCAATGACATCACATAATGCAATGGTATC